GAACAGCTCTCATGCAAAGAGCGCCCCGTACCCCCGTGCAAAAGAGCACATGCGAGTTGAAAGCCGGGACTCTGGGATATGTTGGCCAACATGTTGGCAGGATGCAGGATGCTCCAGCGGAACTGCACATCTGGAGATTGCCCAAGACAAATTTTGGAGTAGATGGTCTGTCCATCTGTTCGGCTGCTTTCCGTGCTGACTTTATTCCAGTTGGCGATGTTGAGAGACAGCTTTCAAACGTTCTTGATGACAGCTTATGTTCCTAAACACTCTCAGCAAAACACAGCTGTATAGCCTCAGCTTCTAGGACCCCTGTGTTTTTCACATGAGACACCAAAAAATGACAAGCAATGGCAAAGGCGGTTTCTCGCCGGTTGCATGGACCTCACATGTCCTGGGAGTAGCCACAGGACTCCGTTGACCGTTATACGCCTGAGATAAAGTCCAGCTCCAGCGGGGCCACAGGAATGCTGATGCCAGACCTGAAAAACAAGAGTGGGATCTTCGCACAATTCGAGCACAACTGACAGCTGACCATTTCAACCCCCACAAACCAATTCATTTGTGCAAAGTGGTTTGGCGTTTCTCTGCATCCATCTCCTGGCATCACACACTCTGAGAACAACTCATGCAAACAAAACCAGTCGTTCTTCAGCGACCTGCCGAGCCAATTCGGACCCAGTGGTACCCAATTGCATGCAGACAGTCGGCGCCTCCGGTTCCCAGGGCACCCGGCTGTATCCGGCAACGGCTGTCCTCGCTGCGCCAGGCCTGCAAGGGGCAAAGGGTGAAAAACGGTCCGGCGGGCCACATAGCTCAAAGCCCAACGGGCACAGGGACATTGCCGGGAAATGCAATCAAAATAAGTCAACCCAACACCAAAGTGGAGGACGGCATCGTCAAAGAGTAGCGTTTGGACCTCAACCCGAGATGCGCCCTCGCTGTCCAACATAAATGGGAGCGTGGGCTGTTGTAGGAACAACTTTCGACCTCATGGGTGTAGCTTCCGAGTTTGGAGAAAGCCTCATGCTTCTGATCCTGGGACAACTCCTCTTGGCATGGCCATCCCTTCATTCACAAGAACCAACCTATACAACAATGAACTGACCACCACCACTGCTACCAACCAACACCAGCACTCACACCAACACCAACACCGCCAACATATTTCAGCAAAACAGGGTTGGTCTTCCGTTGGTGCCAACGGCCCTTCCTACGCCCACGGCCTCCGATCGGAATGAGGCACAAAGCCGAGCGGAGGAGCTCATCCATCTCGGCCGGCCGCTGGGCTGCACTGGTCGATCTACCGCTCGTAATCCGCGCTAATTCCGGCAAATGAGACTCCTGCCTGCACAGCTGCGTTTTGAAAGCTCCATACGCAATCCACACAAAGGGTATCCGAAAAACAAGATATCGGCCATCAGGCCATCGCCCCGGTCAGGCCAACTTGCACAAAGACGTGAGGCGCAAGCTTTCTGTGCGAAACTTTTAGTGAGTTCCCCCATATCCCACCGTAGACTCCCGCGCTTCCACGCCCCGAGGCGGGTGTCTCTGAAATGAGGGAAAACTCCAAAATGTGTCCCTTTGCTTCGGAGCTCTCCAAAATGGGTCCCGCGCCCCTTGGCTTTGCGGGAGCTCATCTGCGACAGCTCCGCCTGGATGTGAGCGGCGTGCGTTTTTTGGAGTTGGTGCCCTTTGTGTGTGTGTGTGCTTTGGAGGGTTCCCTTTTTGGGGTCGGCTTAAAGGGAAACCTAAAAGGAAAATCGAAGAATTTTGGGGGGGTCCGAATGATCCCTATTTCACATACCCACGAGCGAAACGACAAGCGCAAATGTCGGCTCGGACACCCCTGCCCCAAGAAAAGAAAAGGAACAAACAGGGAACAATCCTCAGACCTGGATCGTGATCTTGACTGAGACCCGTTTGCAACAGAGAGGTCCTTGAAAAAAAGTATCTTAGCCACTGCCAAACTCTGCCTGTGGACTGGGGGTGGTCATGAGTGATGGACTCAACTGGGACTCCAAAATCAGAAGCTGGACATGAGCTGAAATCCCAGTGCAACCAGCTCAACACCGGCAACCTCTGGATTCCACAGGGAAAATCCGCCGGCCTGGAGGTCTTCGTCCTCGGATTGCTCACCTTAGAGTCGGGCGACTGGAATGGGCGACGCTCCAAAAGTCGCCACAAGCTGCGCATTAAATTTTTGTGCCTTTGAGGGTATGTTCTCTTCGGCTTCTCGACCAGCGCGGGTCGTTCGGTCACGTTGAGAGCTCTGCACTTAACAAAGACCTGCTACGGGCTGAAATATGAGGGTACCCATTTTAGGCTTTTAAAGGGAAACCAATGTGGAAAACCAGCAGTTGGAGGGTCCTCCTATTTGAACGCACACCCACACTCGAAGAGTGGAAGCCAAAATCCAAATTGCCCTTCGGCACACCCAGTCCCTTTGCCTTATGCGTCGATCGGCGGATCCGTCGCCACAACCTCTTTGTTTTGAGAGTCAGGGGCACAACTTTAAAGTCGAAATTCATCGGGCAACTCTACAGTCTGCAACTCGAGGCGAAAGGAGCAACGGAAACTAGCAGCCATCCACCTTCAGAACGAGTCAGAGCCGCTTGGGAAAGCGCATGTGTTGTAGGTCTCGTTTTCATTGAACCACCCGCTTTGGGTATGTGCCAAAATAGAGGGACCCTTCAAAATGGTGGCTTGGAAACCCTCCACACCCCGCTGGAGTCTGGGCTCCCCTGGCAGTTGCTCCTGAGAAACAGCCCGGAGCCAGGTCTCACATCTTCAAAGGAGGAAATTCGGAAAGCACCAGAGCTTTTGATTGCCCAGAAAATGGCTTCAGAATCCAGAACCACTGGGTCAAAGGGGAGTTTTAGACACAGACACCGCTAGGCTGCTGCGTGTGCGTCCTGATTTGTCTCAAGCCGGGCGCAACCACGCGTTGAACGTCAAGTGCCGTGGGAAGCAGCAAACACGGCCATAAACATAACATTGGGAACGAGGGATGCAGACCTTAGAAAGAGGGACGGAGTGAAGGGAGGTACTGTGCTTCAGCGCCACCAGAATACGCACGGGCTGTATCCATCCCTACAAAAACTAGAGCTAGGAGAGATCGGAAAGTTACGTTCTCTCTCGGAGTTCCCTATCAATTCTCAAGGCGCAAAGACCTTTTGGCGGGTCACCCAATCAACATCCATTCCCTTGAAGCACAATATTCTGCCTTGGTAAAGACTGCACTGGCCATCTTGATTTGTCCCAGCCAGGGCTGGCTAAAGCAAACGGCATGTCAAAGTCACCCCACAGTTGGCATGACGCATGTTTCATGGAATTTGCGAATGAGCGAGCAGAGCTGCGGATAAAGGAGCTTTGAGTTTTCTCCGCTCATCCAGTTGTTGTGCACTTCAAGGAGCTCCAAAACCCTCAACACTCCGTTCAAGGCAAACCAACAGGTTCAAACATTGGTTCAAAGGGAAACCACATGGAAACCCCCTGTTTGAAGGCTTCCCCAATTTTGAGACAAACTCATTGGTGACTTGAGCATTGTCTTAGCAAGATATTGGCCGCTAACAGATTGACACCCAAACAACAGGCCGCTGTGGCCGCAGCTGTTTCGCGCATTCGAAGAGCCTGGCAAAAACCAAAGGCCCCTCACCCAGACCAGGTTCTGAGAATTCTGGTAGGGAGGGCACCAAAAGACCAAAACGAACAAACCACCTGGGTCCCTGATTTCGAGACCTTCGCGCCACTCTGGCTTAGGGTGGCAAACGAGACACACACAGGGACATATGCTATGTTTCAAAAGCTCTTGCTTGCGAACACAGAGGACCGCGTGCTATCGGTCCGAGCACACTTTGACAAGCCATATGGTTTCTGGATGAATTCTGAAAGGGTCAAAAGGGTCATCCAGAATTGAGCAAGAAGGATCACCCAACTGATGTCCCGGCATTCTGAGGGGCTGCTCAAAACTATCTGATGGCACAACACAAATCTCTATCTGAGACGGGTGAGTTGACGGCCACCGCTTTTACCGCAACGCTCTCTGAGCGAAGGAGGTGGGAGGGCATTCAAAACTAAAGGGGCGAAACACGGATCATGCAGCTGCAAGCTCTCGCAAAGTGACGATTTCAACAGGGCGACGGCCGAACAACCTGATTACTAGTTGCAGTCGGGTAAGAGCCATCCCATTACCTAGCCACACAAAGGGGATTGTGCCTACCTGACAGCAAGCCTTGAGTCACCCAAAGCAATCCCTTTCCACAAGGCTTCGCCGCCAATTGTTTCATGCATCGGCCATTGCTGAAGCAATGTCACTGCGATTTTCCTGTATGCTATCAGCCAGCATCCGTCAAGTTGGTCCGATACTGGGGAGGGCATCCAAACTTAGATAGCCCCCTCTCACCTTTCATGTTGCCAGCCATAGTTCTAGCCTCGTGTTTCATTGCCTGGAATCATATTTCTTTCGATACAGCCGTACATCCATGTCTCATGTGGGTTGTGCCGGGCAGCCCATGGCTCATAGCCGACGGCCTGTTTATCAGACCCATCCTTTGCCAGACCCGGCTGATGCCAAGGTTGCCGGCTCACACCTCAACATGAAGGGCTCAGGGCGATGCTCCCTGCCTCAGCCTCGGCACCCGCAGCGGGCAACCTGACGTCAGGCGACCGGTTTCTCCTCTTCAAGCCATCCGGGTCTGGAGAATGGCAGTCGTCCTTAGAAGGCAAAGCCGGAAGCTTTTTGCTGATCTACAACTGGGCAAGTTACTAACACTCAGAAACCGGAAATCAGGAATCCCAATGATCTTCATTTCATCTGGACAGTTCCATGTTGGCCCAAATGCCAGACAACATGTGTCTGCACACCGCGTGGCTTCAGCCGGCCTGAATCAAGGAGCTCCTGCTTACTGAAACCACATCTAGTGTGCCACTATGTGAACAATGCTGATGGTCCTCTTGCAAGGAACCCTTGCAATTGTCGTCTTTTTCCTTTCCCCCCACTAGTCTTCATGTTTAATTTCCTCAAATCGGTTGCTCAACTGATTGAAGAGAATCAGGGACAGGATGTCTTCGGTAAGGGGCTTGTAGACCTGGTCATCCACCAACTCCCGATCTGCGAAAAGGTTGGGGTACATGTTCAGCTCAATGAGCTTGGACTCTCCGTTGCTCCGTAGGAGCGCGTCCCCCCCCACCACCACGTAGCGCGAGGTGCTGGAAGCTGCCAGCAGCGGCGCCAGCGCCGGCGCGGCCGCCCGCAGCTGGGCGGCGATGGCCTCTCGCCAGCGCGGCCCCTCATCCACCGACTGCAGCAGAAGCAGCCGAGTGTCGGAGGCGTCGTCGTACCAGTCATGCCGAACCTGCACCGTGTCCTCCACGCTGGTGGGATCATACCTTGCACCGTGGACTATCAAGACACCCATTTCGTGCAAGTAGATGCGGTGGTCGTATACTAGCAAATAAAACCGAACCACAAACTTTCGGCCGTCAATCAGCTCCAAGTCCTGTACCCCTCTTTGGAGCACATAATCAGAAGAGATGTCTGCACTCAGCACCTCCTCCCGCCGCAAAACGCGGATGCCGCGGCCACCGCTCTCGCCCGGCGCCTTGGCGAAGAACAGCACCGCTTCTTCGCCTTCCGAGGCCGCGAGGGCCTCCTCCTTGGAGAAGTAGGTCTCTGCAAAGGGGCCGCTCGCGCAGTTGTACTCCCGAAGCCGCTCCTCCAGTCCGCGCTTGTGGTCATAGACATCCGTCACCTCCCGCGAAATGAGCTGCACCAGGCGCGCAGGTCGGCCCATGTACGGCAGCTCGCCCTGGAAGGTGTCGAAATAGGTGAACACGACGTCCTCCTGGAAGCCGGGATGCTTCTCAGCCAGCGTGCGCGCGGCTTCTGAAAAGGCGGCAGTGCCCCGATTGGTAAAGTACCGAATGTTGCCTGCCTGCCAGGCGCGGCCATTCAGGCCGAGCGCCTGTGGTAGGTATGCTCCACAGAAGCCTAGAAACAAGCCGCCCAGCGCCAAATCACCTGCTGTGAAGGCCTCTGCTCGGGCAGCAATGCGTGAGAAGCTCCGTCTAGAGCGGCACGCAGCTGGGACAGGGACGAAGCGAAGATCCCGCGCACAGAAGGTCACAACCAGAAGCAGCGGCCAAAGAAACACTCGTGCTCGACGCATCATAATCCATGTGTCTTGGCTCAGAATGCGTTACATCCAAATCTAAGAGGCTGCAAAGCAACAATGAGCTGCAATTTGATTCAACATTCTCGACACTGGTCAATGAAAACCCACGTTCAGCGGCTTAAAAGCTGTAAGACAAATCCATGAAACATGCCAAGAGGTTAAAATCAGATTTCCTCCCCGCTGCAGCAACTGCCAACAAAAGCTAGAATCTGGATTTGAGACAACGAAGGGGTAGTCCTGACCAAGCGTGGAAAAGACAAAAACCTGGATTTAGCCCTTTTGTAATCCAGTTGTCAGTCTTGTTCTTCGATTGATTGCCATGATTGCATTCCCCAAAAGCAGCTGTTTTGCTAAAACCTTCGAACCGCAGAAGAAAACCCCAAAAAAACAGAGGGTTGGGTTGGGCAAGCAAAAGACCTTTGTTGGGCATGTCCGAATTCTGTGACGCGGTGCCTTCTGCATGCGTGGTTTGGATTTGGCATTGGCTGCTTCCCCCTTTGCTTCAACTGGAACTCAACCCCACCCCCATTCAAACCATGGTTGAGGGAACTGGCCCTTGTGATGCCAAAGCAGACCATCCTTATGGCCTGTTTGCCGGTTTCCTTTGGCGCAGACACCCTGTGAGTGTGGGTCAAAAACAGAGACCCCAAATGAAACCCTGGTGAATGGAAGCAAGGACTACAACCTCGGTGCCCTAGTTTCAGTTGGACCCATACTCCATGTTGTTCGGACCAAAGTGCATCTCCCGATCCGAACCCACCGGCCAAGCCGCCTTTGTAGCGCTCCTGCAAATGCGCCAGGCGGTGGTGCGCGTGCTGCTTCGAGCAACTGCAGCCTCCTGGCGACGAGGCGGAGATATGGATAGTATCCATACCCCTTCTGGGGGTGCTTGAAAGTTGCTTGAAAGGATGATTCTGACCCTCCTCGCTGGAAATTGGAAGGGGCCTGTCAGTAGGAATCATGTAGGACTCTGCTGCCATCCACAGTTGGATGAATGTCCGGTAAGGGCTTTCGCATGGGGAATATAAGGGACTGACTATTGGTGGGCGAGGAAGTAAGTCCAAGCCAGAATGGTCGATGCACGGGAAAGAAAGCAGTTCAGCGCATGTTTACCGCTTGCCGGGAACTGCAATGTTCCTTGATCTTTGGATGCTCTCGATGTGCAAAAAAAACAGATGATCTTCTCTGTCTCCCCCGTTTCCTCTCGGAAGGGAGATACGCCCCTCTGGGACGCTTTACTCGGAAGGGAAAGTGCAAAGTGCAAAGGCCACCGCTTCGGGACTTCGGGGCGTTAGCCTGACTTCCCAAGAGCAAGGCGCATCAACGCATCGGTACAAGGTGACTTGGCACGCACTGCACGCACTCCCTTGTGACTTTGATCCCAGCCAGTCAATGCATTTCCGACGTCGATTTCCGCCGGAACTGGAAGATGCGGACTTGGATTTGGGACCCGTTTCATTCGGAAGCTTACCCGTTGAGAGCGCCCTGGAAACAACTCCAAGGAGTGTTGGCCCATTGCGCCATACAAGCTGGTCGGCCCAACTTGTCCGACTGCTGGCCCGGATCCCGCTTTAGCCCAAGCCAAGCTCGAATCCAGAGGTCTGGTTAGATCAGGCTACAGGGTGTCAGGGCCATTTCAGAGAGCACTCAAATGCGTGTGTCACTCTTCAGCCCTTTTGGTTCCTTTTTAAAGCCACCAAAAACGGGTGCCCTGAACAAAAGATAAACCTAAATCTACCCAAACCAATTTCCAAACTCAAGCCCCCTGCCGGTGTCCCTTGAAAGCCTCCCTTCACAAAGAACGGCCGACCCACTGCACCTCCACAGAAGCGCACGATGAACTCTGCTCCGCCTGGCACAAACTGAGCCCGGAGCCTAGCAAAGAGCCCCAAGTTCTGAGGAGGGCCTGATTTAACTCGCAACCTGTTCCTGGCCACAGAAATCGAGCCCAGAGCACTTCCACAACAGCACCCTTGTTTCCTCGCTTTGATCTATTTCCATATCCACATCTCTGTCTTCCTTCCATCTTGGCTCTCCAGGCATGCACGGCAGTGTGGACGTGCGAGCCAAAACTTCGTATCCCACTTCCGCAGCTGCCGCCTTGAGAATTTCTCGCGAGGCAAGGCACGCCCGCAGCGCTGACAAGGTGCTAAGTGTAGCGGCACATCATCCATCCAAAGAGTTTCCTTGTCCATGGCATCAACATCCAGAGTGGGAAAGCCATGCCTAAACAGAAACTCGCTCAGAGTGCCATATCCAAAGGTAGCAAAGGCGAAATGCCCAAAGCGTCCACGAAGATGGGCACTGGCATGCTTTCGAAAAGTCTTTGGATCTGGGCATCGCCTGTTGAATTTCTCAAGTAGTGAAGCAATTTCAGCTTCTGTCGGCGGTGCAGCCACGATCAGTTTACCCTTGAATGGGTCATTGGCATCCACTGCATCACGAGTTATCAGCTTCCCCTTCTTCCAGCTGCTACCAAGCTCTGTAGACTTCTCCCCGCAGCTCCTCATGTGCATCCGAGCTTGCTGCCACATTGGGAAAACATGGTTGCAGGCACCTGCCAGAGCAGCCTCCTGACCACGAAGTGTCGGCTGCTCACGGCCCGCCACGAACACCAACTGATTCAGGGCCACCAATCCACAGGGCAGGATGGCGAGTACCCGCAGCAAAGGCTGCCGTTTGGTCATTGCGCTGCGTCAGGTCCCCTCAAACCGAGACCTCTGAAACAAACAACTTGAGCCAGCAGCAACACGCAACATGCTACATGCTTTCAAGCCTGCAACACTGGCCCCAAGTTCCACGTGTCCCAAGCCAACTTGTCAGAAATTATGAGCTCCCTCCGTCAATCCTTGAGATGTTGGCTGCCTTCAGAAGGTCCCAGAAAGGGTCCAACCGCTTTCAGTTGTGACGCGCAGGATTCGCCTGGCCCCTGGGCCCCTGGGCCCCTGTGATCGAAAATCAACATGACTCTGACGGTGTCAAAGGGACACACGAGGTCTTTTCACACGTAGATGTAGTCCAAACGCTTTCAGGTTCTGAAACCAAACAGCTAAGCAAAAGGTGAAGCCTCGAAGGGGCCCGAAGAGTTGGGAAGCCTTACTCATATCAAAGGATTGACCAAAGGCCACTGGAAACCAACGCTTTAGGTCGGCTTGACCAGATTCCCTGGTTTCCCTAAGGATTGTTCACAACTGCAGCGCAAACATCGACCATTGATCAAATAATGGCACATGTTGACCGCCGGTGAAGCGTGACAGGTTTGCATACTGCTTACATGTTTCAGACTTGTTCAACCTCTTCACCTGGTGAACTAATTGCTCGTACTTCTGAATGGAACGGATATTGTTGAGCTATGTATGGTCTCGCACAAGCTTGGGGCTGCCCGCGGTGAAAATATACCCGCTAGATTTGATTGACGTTCCGGTGCATGCGTGATTCAGCACAACATGCCACAAATGCCATAAATCGTGGTTTGCATTGTTCAAGGTTCGTCCAATCTCCTACTTCCTGCGTTGTCTCAAAATAGGGGATGCTTTTTTAGATAGGAGAAGGAAACAAATTGGAAACCTGGACAGGTCCCCAATTTTGAGAAACATATTGTACACCTTGATCCATCCCCGGCAGCCCCACCTACGCGGATCCAATCACCGCAGCTGAGCGTGACACTGGAGCCTGGCACGCGAGCGGCTCGTCCCCCGTGCACTGCGTATCCACAAAATCCGTTTCGCAGCACTTGTATTCATAGGGCTTCATGCATCGCAACTGGTGCAGGTCTTTGTGTATCCACAGTATGATGGACTGGTGCAACTGAATACCCCTGACTTTGCCCGTGGGTGATGGATGGCTAACCTTGCTTGGTCTGGACTAGAAGAAACGTGCGGCAGGGATTGGCAAGGATCTATCAGTTGCACGACACCCCGTGCCATGCACCCAGGGACTCAGGGACCCGTGATGTCTTGGAGAGGCTTGTTTTGACGAGTGGCCCTACAAACGTAAGGTGCGGTGTGGGAGTGTGCGAGTAGGCGGGTAGATGTGTGAGGCGAATGGAAGAGTGACGCGAACACTTGCAAAGGTCCTTGGTTCAGGCCGTGGTTTCGTCAATCAACACCAATCAGTGTGATCATGCGGGCACTCGGTGTATTCTCAACTCGGAATGCGTCTGAGTTCAAGGCACCCTTAATTGGCAGGTTGCATGGATTGTGGGTTCCAGGTTAGGAGGAAGGATCTTGACGCATCAAAATCAAGATGGACTGTCAATATGTCTTTGCTTTGCTGAACTGTTCCAAAACTTTGTTTCCTGCTGGCTAGCGGCCAGCATGATAAATCTAGCGGCCTTGAAAAAGAATGTTCATTCTCAACCAACAAGTACAAAGAGTAGCGGTGGAAAAGCAAAAACAAACACAGTTGGATGTGTCTCGAGGACCCCCAAACCATCTTCGATCGAAATTCCATTTGGAGGGTCGCTCCACTCCCGGGTGCGCGGTCCGCACACCAAAGCAAAACCCGGCAGCTGTGCCGATCTTCACAAAGGTCCCCCACTTGGAGCCGGCGTCCATGATGTAGAACTGGTCCGTTTCCTGGCGCGGGAACAGGTTCTAACTGTGCTGCTTGCAGATCCGGAAACCATACTCTTGGCTCTCACAAGTAGCAAAATCAACCGACTCCGCAATTACTCGCAAGCCGGGACGTGTAGCGGTTGTGTTTCTGCTTCTGGAGCGTACCCTTGTATTCAAGGTAAACCAACAGGAAGACCACCATTTTGGGTGGGTCTCCCATTCTGACACCTCGTCTCACCACTAAGCACGGGTGCTTGGACTTGATTGGTCCCTGTCCACCATCCCCAAGCCTGCCAACCACCACGAAGGCCCGACTGAACTCATTTGGAAGTTTTGAGCTGTCCTCCAGATTCATAGGTCTCCCTCTGATTAGTGGCGTCCGGACTCAAGTCCCGAGCGCTGAGCTAAGGATACCCAAAGAGCGAAATGTTTGCCCACGTGGCAAGTGGACTCCACTCAGACTGACTAGTTCAGTGAACAGAAACTGGCGAGGTCCCTACTCAACAACATAGGCACGGGAAGAGCCAGTCCCTTCAAGTACAAACAATTGGATCAGAGAATGAGAACTCATCACTCACTTTGCCAGTTTGTCAAAACAACCCCAAACAGCCCATGGCTTTTGCCTCCGGAGCCACCGCTCCTGGTCGTGGATCACGTTAAAGTGCGACCGCGAGGCGATTGGCTCAGACATGGGGCAGTCTGGTACCAACGTCCTGGGAGGAGTCAATGGGGGTCCGACCGACTCAATTGTTGACTTCACATGAGCGCCCAAATTTGATGTTCCCTTTATGAACGTGGGAAAAAATAGAGAGTGAAAGAGATTGAGGGAACGAGATAAAAAGAAAGAGATGGAGGGAAAAAGAGAGAGAGAGAGATATAGAGAGAGATATAGAGAGAGATATAGAAAGAGAGATAGAGAGAAGTAGAGAGAGAGAGAGAGAGTGAGAGAAGTAGAGAGAGAGAGAGAGAGACATAGAGACAGAGAGAGAGAGCGAGAGAAGCAGAGGGAGATACAGGGAGAAAAGAGGGAGATAGAGGGAGACAGAGGGAGATAGAGGGAGACAGAGGGAGAAAGAGGGAGAAAAGAGGGAGACAAAGGGAGAGGGAGAGGGAGAGAGCGAGAGAGTGTCCCCCATGTATCCGCCAGTATGACCATAGACTGCTGGACGTCGACTGGAAACGTTGAGCGAAGCTCACAGGCTGCTTGTTGCCAAATATGATGGCGTCTGGCCAGCTGAAATGCTCTGTTGCCATTGCGGCGTCAGATGACTGGCACACTCCCTTGACCTCAAAAGCCACCTCCACGCTTCAGGCAAACGAACTTAGCCTCACCTCTGGTGCTTTCTCACCACGAGAAAAGATATGCTTTCTCACAGGCGTATCTTTCGGCTGGATGTGCTAGCCAAATGTCCAAACCCCCAATGTAAAGCTCGCCCAAATTGGGCAACAAAAAGCACGCCCTCATTAGTTTAAAAGGTTTTGCCGCCTCAAGCACTCATGCGCCAGGCAGAAGAGCCCCCTCTCAACTGGCTTCTTTGACGCACATTGAGTGACAGAGATGGCTTGGTCCCATGCCTGACCATTCTGAGCACCAAATTCCCTCCTAATTGTTGGCTGGGATTTGTGGTTTGGTGGTTAAGCAGGGGTTTCCCATTTACACGAACCAGTTGCCCAAGCCACCAATATCACCAATTAGGGGTTGCCTGACACAAGTACATAATCTGGGTTGGTGCTCTCCCGCCCCGACTGCCCGCTCCTCTTCGACGAGCTCCGGCCAAACTTCGTCACGCCGCTAAACCGGCTCCCTGGATTCACCGTGAAATCAGAAGCAACAGGGCCTTGTGCCAAAACGGGAAGAACAAAGTGCAAGGCCGACATGAGGGTGCTGTCCAAGTCAAAGATAGGCTCAGAGCAGGTTCTGTACTACAGCAAAGTTGATGCGAGTCTGACGGACGCCAGCAGCCTTTCAGAAGGGAATCCGCTATTACTCTGAGAATGCAACCCTGGCCTTTCAAACCAAGTATTTCTTTGACATTCCAGCTGGCCCCGGTGTGGACATACCGTGGATGGACAAAATTCTGCTCCGATTCGTGGGTGATTTGCCCCCAGTATCCGTAGGGTTTCATTCATCCCAACTGGTGCGAAGTGGATTTTGCCCATCCACAATCACATGCACTTCGTTTGACGCCACTCGCCACAAAGTTTCCCAAGGCCAAATGATTGGCAATATGGCGTTGACAGCTGACATCTGGCACCCGGGCCGTTGGCGGCGACCACCAACGCCGGCAGCGAAGAAAAATCCGTGACCTGCCAAGGGCGGGCGCTGCGGGGTCGTACAGGGCTTGGGTGGTTTGATTAGAGCCATCACGCACGAAAAACAAACCAACATGAAGCCGACCAATTGGAGCTTCCCCAAGCTTTGACCCAAACCCCATTGCCCACAGAGCAGCACGTGGATATGCGTCAGATTAGGGGGACCCCCAACATGGGTGGTGTCCTTCTGGTTTCCATGCAAGCCAGCCTGTAAAAAAGTACCGTCAACAAAAACACACACACACACACACACACACACACACACACCGCGTGGCTACAATAAAACCTGCTGCCGTGCCACTTCTGCCCCAAGGGTGCCCAACATCAGAACATCCCCAATTTTAGCACCACGGAACAGGGTAGCAATTGTTGGGCACTCTCTGAACAAAAAACAGGTGCGCACATTCACACGTGTCAGTGGACAACACCGTGGCTCCGCAAACCCACATCTGTGGATGTGGTCAGCCTTGCCCGAGGGAGTTGCATGGCTACTTTTGAGATGGCCAAACCGAGGAAAGACTCCTCCCCAGCCCTTGCAAAAGAACCAAACTGTATGAAATGAACCATGCCACGAGCAAACCATGTGATCGAACACTTGTTCGAGTAGCGTCGCCAAACAAACGATGTTACGAGCCACCGGAATCCCGTGCTGCCTCGGCGCCTTTTTCTACCTGCCCCGCCTCTCGAGGTGAGCCAGGCGCAACAGCCTGACAAAACCGCTGCAACATTGCAGTTGGCTTAAGGAATGGCTTGGCATTTGCTCCGGCAGGGTCCTCCCTTTCCCTTTCTGGAACCTTTGAGCCTTTGAAGAAGAAGTC